TTTTTAGTATTTACCCGCTACCTACGCTGGTTGTCTTTAATACCAAATTAATACTTTGGGACAAAACGTTTTTTATAGGTTTTCAGTGGTGTTCTTGAAAATGATCTACATAAACCTTTGTGAAACGTCTCTTCTCTTCTATGACTTTTTATGAAAACATACTACCTACCAGAACTGGGATAGTTACTTGAAAAAAGTAACGCGTTACTTTACAGTTACTTTTGCTTAAAAATAACTCGTTACTTAAAATTTACAGTTATAGTTTCGAATAATGATTACTTTATTTTCGTTACTTATTGGAAAGTAACGCGTTACTGTAACTTCTTTACTTTGAAAGTAACTTCTTTACTTTAGAAGTAGTTCGTTACTTAAACTCGTTATTTGAAAGTAACCCGTTACCATAACGTGTTAGTTTGAAATAAAGCGCTACTTTTGAATAAAGCGTTACTTTTAAAGTAACGCGTTACTTCAAAAATAACTATTTACGTCGAAAATTGCGTTATTCCTCAATTTGACTCACCAACACAGCAGTCCAAACAATCAAATAAGACCTATACGAAATGCCAATATGTTTTTAGTTTGTGAGTCCGACTATGTGGAAGAGTTTTGTTGCAATTAATTAAGCGACTAATTAGAGAACTTGGTTTTGGACGAATCTGCTTTTTGAAGCGTCCCATTGTCTGCATATAGTGTCTTTAGAGCAGAGGCGGCGCGTGCCACGCCCAAAAACGATTATTTTGAGCTTTCAAAACAAATTTTCTGTACTACCCACATTTTATTTGACATACAAAGTTTTTGGATTTCTTATTTTCCTTTTCCTCAATCGTCAATTATTAGTAAAGAAGATGAACACGTGACGTCGTTACAGTTACTTATCAATCAATCTGAAAAGTAACGAAGATACCAAGTAACGCGCTACTGTCAGTAACTCGTTAAAGTATTTAACTATTTTTTTGTTGTTACTCCCAGCTCTGCTACCTACTTAGTTCAGGGTATCACGTTATGAAGTACCACCACCTGTAACTTTTTTAATTTTGGATCGTACCATCGTCACCAAAAGTATCTGGGACACAAATAATGCCTAATAATCTCCTGGACTAATTCTACTGTCATTCATTTCAATGCATTATATTCATAGTTTGACAAATATTTGACAATAAAATTCATATAATAGGACAAGAGCTAATGTGATGCTGTCCCAGTTACTTTTGGTGACGATGGTACATAAAAAAGTTGCAGGTGGTGGTACTCTATACCTTGACATCCGGTACCTGAACGTCTGGCAACATTTTCGATTTCAAAATGATTTTCAAAAAGGACCCTTTCATTACATGGACATTGAAAAACGGTTATTATACGATTGCTGATGTTGGATTTAAAAACGTTCTACAACAGTATAGTTTCCAAAACTTTATAATAAGGAACGTTTTGTGAACATATATTTCCGACGGTTTTTAATGTCGTTTTCATAAAACGTTTTTGAACGAACATTTATTTTAATCCTCGGACGTTTCGACGCTGAACGTCTTCATCAATCATCGTTGGAAAAAATTGTTAAGGCAAACAGTTGTGATCTTTGATTGCGATAATAATTTTGACTGGATGTAATCAAAACATTCAAGGCCGGAGAAATTGTGTAAATAGATTGCAAAAGCTTTGGACAATTTTAGACCTGTAGGTAGACCATATTTCCAAACTGATTTAGGACAAAAGTTTTCTAACAATACCTACTTTCAAACAATTTCTTGATATTTTGTATACGTTATCTGTGAATTTCAATATGAAAGTAAGTCATTTCCTACAAATCCTATCCATTGAAAGTAACACTAGTATCGGAGCTGTCCTTTCAAAAATTCGCCAGAGCATGTCGTAGAGTACTACAGCCTACAGCAGAACCTTATCATAGCCAGAACGAAATTATTGTGTCATCAGAAGAGAGTTGCTTGCCGACTGGCAGTTGATCATTTCCATAAGTATCTCTACGGACGCAAGTTTCTAATTCGAACAAATCACGCGGCTCTAAAATGGCTTTTAGAAATGAAAACTCCCGAAGGACAGCTTGCTAGAGAGATTGCAGCAATACAATTTCCAAACTAAACATCGACCTGGAAACCTGCATAAAAATGCTGATGCTCTGTTTAGACGTCCATGCAAAGAAGACTGCAAGCATTGTCAGAGAATCAATATGCATGAGAAAAACATTGGTTCGGCTGTGAGAAGAACGGGTTCTATCGTTGATGACAAATGGACTACCAAACAAATGAGAGCAGATCAAGAAGCAGACTAGGACATCGGGCAATTTCTATATTTTAAAGAAAAAGATGAATGTAGGCCAGAATGAAGGGAAGTGTTGAACAAGAGTTTGATTTCCAAGGCGTTGTGGGCTCAGTGGAACTCTCTCTTTAGCCGTAGAAAATGGTTTACTGGAAAGAGTCTGGGAAAGTTCCGATAGGAAATCTACTAAGAGCGAACTGGTTATTCCAAATGATCGAGTAGAAGATGTATTGAAAGAAATAACCACATGATGGAACTTCGGGGGTTATTTTGGAGTTAACAAGACTTTGGACAAAATTCGGGAACGTTTTTACTAGGTCCACTATCGCCAAGACGTTAAAAACTGATGCCGAAAATGCGACATCTGTGCTTCCAGTAAAGGCCCTAAACTAAGATCTCGGAGGCCCATGAAACAGTACAACGTCGGTCTCCCATTTGGAAGAATAGCGATAGATGTAGCCGGACCATTCCCTGAGTCAGAGCGTGGTAACAAATGCATCTTGGTTAGGTATCATATATTACTTCAGTAAATGGCCAGAAGTCTTCGCTATTCCGAATCAAGAAGCCATCACTATTGCTCAGGTGCTAGTGGACGAAGTTTTTAGTCATCATGGTGTGCTACTAGAGTTACATTCAGATCACGGACGAAACTTCGAATCTGCCATCTTTAAGAAAATTTGTGAGACCATGGGCATTCGTACAACAAGGACAACACCTTTACATCCGCAGTCTATTTGCATGGTAGAACAAGATAGGGGAACCCCTGACAAAAGTGGTGGCAAAGAACCAGCGAGATTGGGACAAATATTTGCCTCTATTTTTAATGGCTTACAGAGCAGCTGTTCACGAGTCAACAGGTGAAAGATCAGCTAGAATCGTTTTTGGGAGGGAACTCAGGTTACCTTGCGATCTCATGTTTGGAATACCTGAAGAAGAACGAGAAGAAATTCGAGATTATGCCGACGAAGTAAGGGAATGAATGACTTCTGGGGATACATAATTAAGCTCGGGAGCATATTCAGCTGGCCAGTGACCGAATGAAGACCAGATACGACTTGAAAGCCAATTCAGCCGAATTTCAAGAGGGTGATTCGGTGTCGCTTGGTTGCGATAAAAGTTGTAAATTTGGACAGATTGACGAAATATCATCGGGACGATCAACCTTAAGAGGAGGGCAGTGTGGCGCTTTCGCCAGCCTGTACAGAATTCAAACCTGAAAATTTAGAAAATACAGCCTTGTTTAAAAAAGGACATCACCGCGTTTATTCGGGATTTTGAAAGAATGGATTACGGATATATAAAAGCCGGTATTAGTTATTAGTTTTAGTTTAAAGATTCGCTGCGTGATACGTTTTAGATAGTGATTATTGTAAAATATGTTAAGAGTTAAGTTGTTCGAGTTAATTAGTGAAGTAATTAGTGTCAGAGTGTGTAGTAACGTAGAATTATTGTTGTGCTAATTGGACTTTGATTTTGGAATAAACGAACCCAAGATTTCTGTCACACATCCCAGAGCCGTAACAGTATTATCAAAATTTACCAACATAGAATCTCTTTCAGAATGGTCAGTAGTTCTAGAGCTGCTAGGCTGTGGGTTTTTATAAAATTCTTGAAAGGGCATTTAACTGACAAATCCAAAATCATTATCAACTGATTTATTAGCTTCTGCATTTTGTAGTTGACCATGGATTTTTTTCATTGTCTCCTATTGAATTTGATTTATTACCTACAGTTTTAGTTGAAATTGGAGTGTTGAAGGTACTAGGAGATGTAAATTCCTCTATAATCTCTAAGGAGCAATCAACATCCCTTTTTGTTTCATTAATATCACCAAAAGACTCTCTGGCAAAAATGTATGCATTTTTGCTCTGCTCTGGCAAAAATGTATGCATTTTTGCTCTGCACGTGTTCTTTTCAATTTCCTATTAAAAAACTTATAATTTTCTACTGATTCAAGGATAGGTTCGAGTTATTGCTTTTCTCAAGTTTATCCGTTATCCAAACTTCTGAAGCAATATTGAAGTATTTTTTTCAAAGGTATTTGTCTAGAGGTTCACGCTTGTGGGAAATGTCAGCATTTACATTTTTTTTTCTTGCAAGATATAATAGTCATCTACTGATAAATGTAAGGTCTGGCTATCATGCATTTATAATACCTATCTGTTAGGAACTCTTGGAGTACCTAGAATGTTATATACAATCTACTAAATGCTCTTTCTTTCATCCAATCTGAAAAATCGCAACGACAAGCACTGATAGTCACTAGTTAGAAAATATTCTCTGAAAAATATGAAGAATTGAGAAATACTGATATTTACCATTTGCGATAACTGATGCTGCTACATCAGAGATCAATATATAATTTGCAAATTGGGAGGTAATTCTTCTTCTTTTACAGCGAAGTAAAATGCGTTTTAAAGTCTTACATCATAAATGGTTATAAAATTGAACATTCGGTTTCGGATTCCTCTAAATATCCATTAGATATACTCAAAGCTGACAGAGGCAACATTTTAATCTCAGATAAGTCACACCTATTGAGTTGTTGCAGATTGCGGATAAATGATCTGAAACAGGTGCCTGAAAGAGTCCTTTTATCTCCTTACATAAACAGATTTGCCATATATTTATCCAAATCCATTAATTATAACTGTTACACCCTGTAGAAACATTATATGTACATGAGCATATACCAATCCATATCCATCTTCCACCTGCGCACAAACACAATTTCAAAATATATTACACATTACACAATTTTAATTGCCTTGATAATTTTACATTAATTTTTTCCCGCCAACTCCACCTCCCGACAAGTCGTACCATCGCCCGATTGGTCAACGACAAAGCCCGCTCGATTCGACCGACCAATATGATCTGGCCGAGGTGGAGCCGAAGCGGTACCGCGAAACGCGACTGTAATCCGGCGCCACCTGACGGTACCCATGGTACCTTCAATGGTATACGTTTTGGTACAGCGGAAAAGATGCTGGGCTTAGTACAATCCGTGCGGTTCGTCGACGATGCGTCAAAAATAGTACCCCGCGAGTGAGATATGTCGTGCGTACCGACAAAAATTCGACTCGCAAGGATTGTTTTGTAGAAGTTTTTTTTTTTTTTTTGCGATTGTTGATGGTGTGGTCCGATGGATTATGATGCGGCGGCTAATTATGCTATTGTAGGTAAATCCAGGAAGGAACTTTTCAATATCATAATTTTTTAATTTAAAAAACATTTAGAAAAATGTAATCTCCATGATGCTTTAGAGGCGATTTTAGAAATTTTTTTGTAATATTTATTTTCTAAAAAAAAATTACCCTAGATAATATTTCCAGGGATTCCAATCAATAGCTTTGTTCCTACGCGTCAAGAAAAAACTAGCTATTTTTTTTTACAAAAAGTAAATTTAGTCTGTGGGTACTATGAAATCTGAGGGTTCTGAATTTACTGATTCAATCCAAAATCACTCATTGACATACCTTCTCACATGCACTTTTATCCAAGTAAAACTCCACAGAAACTCTCTTGTATCTTGAAGAGAATTTAAAGAAATTCATCGTTGATACCGAAAACATCTTACCTGTTTTTTTAATTCCACTAAAAAACGGGTCTGCTCTTAAATCTTAATTTTTTGAGACCTTCCGGTTCCTCCAGCAACATCTTGATACATCAGCGACTGAGCTGGAATATTCTTTTCTTCAAAATGTTCCTCATTTGTTTTAGAATCAACATCAAAAAGAATAATCACAATATCGACTTAACTGGCACTTGAGAATGAGATAACTTCTGAGACATCCAGGTTGCAAACATTGAATAAAAATTTTGTATAGGTATAGGTGGAAAAAAAAATATAATTTTTATGTACCTAGGTATATTATCAAATTTTTAAATAAATATTCAGGTGAAAGAAACTTCTTATTAAAGAAAATTTTTGAAAAAGGATAACGGAGTTGTTCTGGGGTACAGATCAAGAAAAATGTTTTTCCAATAGAGAAAAAAAGTCAACCAAAGCTCCAGTACAGCATGTAATGTTTAATATGACATCAGAGTATCTGCAGATACTTCTATGGAGCAAATACAACCAGATGAAAATTGGAAACTACCTTATGATTATTTTGTTACATACATACTTGAAAAAGAACTTACTGCTCTCACAGGAGCTAGAATACCTATTGAAACAGAAGATCTTGATATAGGTATTAGAAGAAGTTTTTAAGACTATTAAGTACTGAGTCTCACAAATACAGCAGCATTTCAGGACTTGCTACAATTCCAACAGGAAGTCGAAGATGTAAAAAGAAAATATCTGGAATTCAAATACATATAGGAAATTTGAGAATTACAAAATGTTTGCAAGAAAAAAAAAGAAATGATTTGGTAGCCAGGAATAACTTCTCAAATTCAAGATCTTATTGAGAATTATTAGGTATGTATGAAAGATACACCTCGTGTCACTGAGTAGTTTTCAAATTTGGAAATACCTAGTCTTGGTGGATGGTTGGATCTGGTTTATTCCAATTTGAAAACAAACTGTATATAATATGGTTGTACAGCACTATTATAGTTGTTTTTAGAAGTACCTTATTTAATTCTAATATTCAGCAGATTTGAAATTATTAAAATTTTACGCACAGTGATGCTATCAGCAGAGCTCTATAACCCATTGAAACAGAAGATCTTAATATATTGGAAGAAAATTTCAAGGTTATTGCAAAGTCGCACAAATACAGGAGAATATCATGACCTACAACAATCCCAACAGGAAATCGAAGATGTATAAAGAAAATATATGAAAATTAAATACATACAGTACATTTAAGAAATACAAAATGTATTGCAAGTAGAAAGAAGAATGATTGATTAAATTCAAGATATTATTGAGAATTGTGAGGTATGTATGAAAGATACACCTCTTGTCCCTGAACAGATTTCAAATTTAGAAATTCCTAGTCTACCATGGTGGATTTTTGGATCTGATCTATTCCAATTTAAAAACAAAATGTCTAGCAAACTTGGAATCTTAAGAATTTAGGTACATACGGATAATGAGCCTCAATACAATTTCTGATTTTTATAGATTTGAATAGTGTTCAAGCAGTCCTCGTCATGCACAATCGAATGGTTTGGCAGAAAGTGGAGTTGGAATACTAAAAAGGTCAGAAGATTACTTGGCCTACAGAAATACACCACTGAGTTGTGGCGTGACTCCAAGGCAGTTTTTGATGAGTGAAACTTTACAATAACAAATAGAACTTCCAAAATCATACTTGAAATCAAAATTGCCATTTATAAAAAAGTCAATAATAATAATAAAAAAGAAGAGAAGAGGCAAATGATATTTTGATAAAAGACATGGAGCACGAAGTGTTGAAGAATACGAGAAGGGTGTGAATTTCAGATAATCAGGAATCAAGAAGAAGTACGTGGCTCCTCGATCATATAAAGTTGTAACGAACAATGGACCTACCAAAGAAAGGAGGCTGCTTTCATATGCTCAAATTAGTGAGGAAAGAAACAATTGGTATTCCATGCACAATTTATTGAAAACTTAGTGTAGTAGAGCGCTTCCATCAGCTTTCGCCATCATCAGTAGGTACTACTTGTCAGATTTCGACACAGAAGTGAAGACTTCTGTAGCATAATATTTATTATGTTTTCTTTTGTGTAATTTAGAGAGGTTTGTGTTCCTAAACAAAAGGGGTTGTTAGTTTCCTTATAGTGGATATGTTTTTGATGAAATATCAAATATGATATCATTGCAGTAAAAACCTTAAACTCAATCAAAGTGAGATTCTAGTTTAATCTCTCTTTCAACTCGTGTGTAGATAGCAATAGGCAAGTAGACCATACACACCATAAACGAAGAATTAAAATGTAAACCAATTAACGCAGTAACTTGGTATATGGATTTAAAATTTCTTTGCACCATTAAAATCCTAGACCACCGGTTAAGTAATATTAATAAAACTACCTATTGGGCACGGACTTATGTGCGCCTCTTCGTCGGAGGAGCGACCGCCTTAAAAACCGTTTTTACGACTCGGTAAACGTCCGTTTCTCCCATAGAGATGGTTTTTGTTATTGGTTTTTAATGTGCTCGAACATACATATTACATATGCCATAACTCCTTTGGCCTCCCTGGACTACCATATACGACGCCGCGCGCGGACGAATCTCCATAAAAAATCCATTTTCGGTGCACCAGCTATTACGACGAGAAAGAAACTCAACGGACGACCGTGTGTGTGCTACAGAAAAACATGTAGTAGGGGCTCAGTAATTTTTTAATTGTGTGGCTTTTGTAATTTTTAGTTAGATTTTTTTTCTCAAATTTAAAGTTGGATAAAATAATAATAATAATAATATTAATGACTAGTAGAAACCATGAACATATACCGAACTCCTCAACACTACTAGCCTTTATAACAAAAACCATGGCTACTTGGAAAACTGATCTACACCTGTCAACCGGATCAACAACCCTCATAATCAAAGAATTTAACATCAAGAACGGCATTTACCAGGGTGATTCGCTTTCCTGTTTCCCCTGAGAACTATCCTTAACAGGACAGGTACAGGATACACGCAGAAACGGGAAGTAAAAGATAAACCACCTCCTATATGTTGATGATCTGAAGCTGATAGCTACAAACGAAGGAAAACATAGTACTAGACGAGAACACCAGCATCTAGGCATTAGAACAACACGAAATGTACAAGTACTTGGGAATTGACGAGAACGACGCACAAGCACAAGAAGATGAAAGTGAAACTGGAAAAGGAATACTACAGAAGAACCAGAGGAATACCGAGACCGACCTTAACACCAAAAACAAGAGTTCTGCCACAACAACCCTAGCAGTTCCTGTAATACAATACAGTTTCAGCATCATCAAGTGGACGCTAGCAGAACTCATAAAAATGGACAGACAAACTCGGAAGCTACTCAACATCCACGGCGGACTCCATCCTGACCCAAAGCCAACGTAGACCGGTTATACTTGCCACCTAAAGAAGGAGGGAGATGCATGCAAAGCATGGAAAATTGTCACACCATCGCCTACCTCGACCTGGAAAAGAAAGACAAATACATCTGCATGGTGAACCGACAAAGACAGCGAAACAAGGAAAAAGACAACAGCGGAGACGGAAAAGCGAACCAACCTGAAACAAAAAGAGTCAAACAGATTAGAGGAGGATTGAAACAACAGAAGAGAAGAGATCAGACAACAAGGTGGAAAGAAAAGGCCCTACATGGACAAATCGCAAAGGAGTTAGAAGATGTAACCCTTAACACAGCTACATCATGGAAGTGGCTCACCCATACAAATCTGAAAATAGAAACTGAAGCACTGGTAACTGCATGTCAGGAGCAAGCTATATGAAGGTAAGGATAATGAAGGCAGACATAGACCCAAAATGTACACTATGGCACGCCCATTCCGAAACCATCCACCATAGGATCATAGGATGCCCTATCCTAGCGAAGAAAGCTTACCTGAAACACCACAACAGTCGCCGCTCACCTGCACTGGAAAATCTGCAAAGAGTATGGAGTAAAAGTATATGAAAAATGGTACAAACACAGCTCGGACCCCGCGTCATCGACACTCCTGAAATCACAATATTATAGGACACACAAGGGGAAACAGACAGGAAGTAATCCCTTTGGACTATAACATCACCCAGAAGGAAGATGCAAAACGCTTGAAATACAAAGATCTACAAATTGAAATACAATGCTTGTGGAACATGAAAACAGTAGTAGTCCCTGTAGTGATAGGCGCCACAAGATTGATATCCCACGACACCTGTGAAGCGATGAAACAACTCCCCGGAACCCACAACCTGATGACACTTCAGAAAGCGGTTGTGCGGTACTCAGCTCATATAGTACGGAAAGTACTATGGGAAACCAGCAGCAAGCACAAGACCAATACCGAAGAGAGAATAACTTTAGACACACGATGTGTACCCGGTTATTCCCTCAGAAAGACAAACTATAGCCCCAAAGAAAAAGCTATGAGATACTGAAAAATAATAATAATAACTGATTTCAGGAAAAATAAAACTAAATTAAAATTTAAAAAAAAAATAATCCTAAATAAAAGTAATTTATAGAAAAACATAACAATAAAGAGTTTACCGATTCTGTAATCTCGATTAGTTGAGTTGAA